CCTTGTTCAGAGGGGGAAGAGGCTATGAGCTGGAGCAACTGCAGGCAGACTCAAGAAAGAAGGCAGTGGTTTGGGGATGGAAGGGGGTGTTAATCCCATTTGTCAATTATTTTACAAAGCACTTTTACATTCTAAAAGGAGCTCTGGTGTTGTGGTGGTTGAAGTATTAGGCTGTTAACCAAAAGGTTAGAGGTTCTAAACTACCAGCCACTACCCAGGACAAAGATGAGGGAGTTGGCTTCTGTAAAGATTTACAGCCTTGGAAACCCTATGGGGCAGTTCTACTTTGTCCTGTAGGACTGTAGGACTGCTATGAGTCAGAAGCGACTCCGTGACAGTGGGTTAACATTCTAAACTCTTTTAATCCTCACAAGAAAAAATCTTGTCAAGTGGGTATTATAATCCCCATTTTACTCACGAGAAAACAGGTTCAGGGAGATTAAACGACTTGGGTGATGTCACTAATGGCAAGTGGCGACTCCAAGAGCTCTGATTCACATCTCAATGCAGTCTTCATTTCTCACGCAAACTTTCAGGACCCCTGAGAGTCATGGATGCAGTGGTCTGGGGACCCCCGGGAGAGGAAACAAGACCACCTTGAATTCCCACGTCCGAAGGGGCGAACGGTTGCGTAAGCATTTGGCAGCGGGGGCTGGCGGGCAGGCTAGAGTTTGGGAGAGGTAACATCCAGGGCTTGCAGATGAATTCTGCGATTGCTCACTAAGGTGAACCAAGGCGATTCATTTTTTCGAGCAGCTCCTCCCCTTCCCCCGCCTCCAGGGGGCGGGGCAACAAAGCGCGGGAAAACTGGGCTTCGGGCTCCGCCCCCCTTCCCTAGATTTAGAGGTGTAGAAAAAGAGAGCTCTTAAACAGGAAATGGATGTAGGGTTCTCCTTTCATGCTTAGGAAGCCTGTCAGTATGTCACTTTAAATATGGCCCTTTGAGAATGGCCCAGGCAACGCCAGCACTCCAACGTCACCTATTCCCCACTTCCGGTCTCCACACTTGTCCCAGGTTTCAGGTCCTCTTTCCTTCCACACTGTAATCCCCGCCTTCGGTCCAAACCCTCCAGCAGGAGGAGGAGCTATGGGTGACATCATCTCCCAGGAACTGACCTGCGCGAGGCTAGGGGCATGAAGACCCCTGCCTATCCAGACGGTAGGACAATTTAGTGGAAAACTACGAGGAAACGGTCAACCAGATGACGTAATGTTTTGGGTGACGTCCAATTCTGTTGACTTCATGCACGGCACGATTGAGAAAACTGTGCAAACGGATCTACATATCCGGGCTCCACTCAGAGTCAAGCAGTCTCCCCTCAAAACCCAAATCGAAATTTGAGAATTCTTTACATTTGCATAAGTGAACTGCAGGCTTACAGGTTTGCGGCCAATAGGGAGTGAAGAGGTGGAGATGCACCTGGGATAGTAACCTCCTCCAGCAGGAATACAGGGAATCAGGTTGTCTTTTTCTAAGCGACAGCAACAGATACCAATAGTTTTTGAGGTGCACAGATGGGGAGGTGGGTCTCGGAGCAACCAATGGGAAGCAGGATCTTCAGAGGGACTAAGCCCTTTGCCCAATAAGGATGAGCGGACTGTACAGGTCTAATTTCGAGCGGCAGTACTTAAGGCCAATCCTGCGCGGAGCTGGGAGGGACGCAGCGCCGAACGACGGAGGTGCTGTCCAATGGCGAGTGTGGAAGCGGGCAGCCCAGACCGGGAGCGCGGAGGGAGCTAAGGAAGGGGGGAGACTAAACGGGAGAGAAGCAGGAAGTAGCGGTGGCCGCGGGGAGGGCGGCTGCGGCGGCGGTGGCGGCTGCTGGAACTGGGCAGAGACCGCCGTGTCTCGGCCCGCACTAGGCGCGGAGCAAGTAAGCCTGCCTGGGGTAGATACCCGCCCTTGGCCCCGCCCCCTGGGGGGGCGGGTAAATACCCCTGCCCCTCCCCCACTCAGTTAACTACCCCCTTCTCTGCGCCGCCCCCTGGGGCGCCTTGTAGAAAGGCCTTGATGCCGCCTGCATCCCTTGGGGCGGATGGGCGAAACTCCCAGCCTGTTGAAAGCACAGCCCCTAGCCGGGTAAACAGGGAGGGAGGGTTGGGGACCCTAAGTCTTGGCGCCCCCAGCCTGAGAGGCGCCCGAAACGCGGCCCAAGGACTGGAGGCTGCGGGATGTCGCGACCTAAAATGGTGTCCATGCCTGCGGGTGGGGGCGGGGGAGCTGGGTCACGCTGGAGCGGAGCTTGCACCCCGACTGGGCGCGGGTGAGTGCCCTGGCCCGGGCAGGAGTCAGGCTTGCGACCCGGGCTCGTCGCGCGGCTTCCGATTACTCCCCACTCTCGGGAGAGCCTCCTGGAGTCTGGGCGGCGAGGAGGCTTCGCTGCGCTGGGAGGGGAGGAGGTCGGAGTTGGGACGGACCCTGGCTGGAGAGAGGCGAGTCCCGCAGAGGCTGCCCTCCCCTCCTCCTCCCCACCCCTCCCCTCCTGTCGTTCTAGGCTCGGAGGTGCTGCGCCGCAGCTCCCAAAGGGCCTAGCTTGTCTGAGGCCCGTCCTTTGCACGTTGGTGGGAACGAGAGAAACGCAGCGCGCCTCAGTTTTCCCTCTAGTTTCTCCTGTGCACCCCTTCTCACTACCCCAGGCGGGCTCCCCGCGCCGGCCCTCGGCAGATGGCAGAGACTTAATTCCGCCCGTTGCCCAGCTTGGCTGCAGCCTAATCGCCCCCGCCCGCGGGCCCCTCGCGGTCCCCTGTTAGCGCGCTTCGCACAGGCCCTGGGACTGGGCAAAGAGCATTGGACCCCCCACCTGACCCAAGCCAGTTCACCCTCTTCCTGTTCAGCTCCTTCCTTTGGTTTTTGGGGAAGAACATAAGAAAGGGAGGGGGCAGAGCCCAAGAGACAGGGCGCAGCAGCCGCAGAAAGGCCCGCCCTGTGACTGGGCCGCGGGGTGGGGGAGCTTCCTCGGCCTTGAGCTGGGCTGCTTGGTCTTCTATCCGCTGTGGGTGGCCATCGGATGACCTCTAAGTTGCTTGGTCGCCCAAGTGGGAGGTGGTTAGGGGAGGCAACTTCACAGGTGTTTTCGCATAGTTCCCACTGTTCTTGTTCCACCAGCCCACTTTTCCGAAGGCCTGAGTGGAGTCTCCTACAGGCCTCTCCAGGTCTGGAGTGAGCCAGGCTGAGGAGGGCCTTGGGCTCTTCAGGGCAGAGAGGTAAGGGGTGAAGGGCTTTGTTTAAACCCAGTCTGCAGAATTGAGGGAGGATTTCTCTTTCTACCTCTAGTTGGTACCCCCTCCTCCTACCCCCACCTAGGTCCCAGCAATGCCAGCTGCCACCTGCTGGGACTCTCTCCAGTTACAGTCTAAAGGCTGGAAAGAGGTGAGAGAATTGGCCCTGGGAAATGGCTCTCATCTTGGGCAGGAAATGTGTCAGGATAGACTTCTTCAGTTACTTCTTCCTGGCTGTAGAGACACTTGTGGGAGGAAACTGGTAAGGGACAGATCTGGGCCACCACAAGCTCTAACATGACCTCCTTGTTGGTTTAGTGCCACATAGATCTTCATAGATTTTAGATTTTTTTTGGTACTGGCCAGGTTGGTGTTTGGTGAGATATCCTGGGCTACTGTTGCCAAAGGAAAATTAAAAGGGTGAGGATTGTGGATTAGGAGATAAATTGGAGTGAGAAGCTCAGAGCTGAAATTAAAGGGGCAAAGGAGTCTGACTTTCCTTCATTGTAGTTGCTTGATAAGCCTATACCCTGGAGTTTTAGTCCTGAGAGAGCTGGATGGGGATGGAGAGAGGGAGGGGCAGGCCAGGGGAGCGCCAGCATACTCTGGAGACGGTAGATGAGGTGAGCTAGTAGGAGCAGCAGGTGTTTGTGACTGGAGAGGCATAGGCTGGGGCCCTTGTGATCAAGCAGTCGTCACCATTTTCCCCTCTGTTTCTCTTCTCTTTGTCTCTTTCTGTTCCTCTGTCCTATTTCCATCTTGGTCTTTTGGGTGATTTCCCTGAGGCCATTTTTCCCTGTTGACCAATCTAGATCTCTAGGAGTCAGTGAAGACCCAGCTGAGATCTTGACCCTACATTGACCCTAGCCCTGGATTTACAGTGCTTATTCCTTTTCAAAAGGAGTCTTGGTGGCATAGTGGTTAAAGTCTTGGCTGCTAACTAGAAGGTTGGCAGTTTGAATCCACCAGCTGCTCCATGGGAAAAAGATGAGGCAGGTTACTTCTGTAAAGATTTACAGCCTTGGAAACCCTATGGGGCATCTGCTCTGTCCTACATTGTCACTATGAGTTGGAATCAACTTGATAGCCATGGGTTTGGTTTGGATTCCTTTTTGGCTCCTGCTTGGCTTGACATGTTCTTGTTTGACCCAGCTGTAATAATTAATCATTTTCTGGGTTCTGACTCTCATGTTTATGATTTCAGTCATGCTCAAAATAACCCTATGTTGTATGAATTACTTGTCCTTTCTTTCAAATGGCAAGAGTAAGGCAGTGAAGGAACCTGGTTAGATAGCATGCCAGTGATACAGCTGTAACTAGAATCGTTTCTTACGTCTTTAAGTCACTACCCCTCACTTTTCAGATCTCTGTAGTCCCCAAAAGGTCCATGAAATATATTAATTGATCCCATGCTGACATGAATAAACCCTTAAACCTAGAGCATCATGTACATCATCCTTTTTAATGATAGTATTGATTAACTGATTGATTCTGTGCTGAACATAGGACAGGGTAAGGCAGATTCAACAAGAGGCTCACTGAACTAGCGCCATCTCTGGTGCTCTAGTCTGTATTTCTGAGAAGTCTTTTTTTCTCTGCTTCTCTGGATTTTGCTGTCTGCCCTGGTATGTGCATATTATCCCCTTTCTAATTTTAGTGTTTGGCAAACCTGCCACCTCTCTAGGATTTGGACTGTGGCAGTGCTGTACCCTCAGGCCCGAGAAGAGATCCAGGGTTCCTGCTTCCTGGGGTCTCAGTTTCTCCTTTTTCATCAGGTCTGGGACCTGCCACTATGGGGGACATGAAGACCCCTGATTTTGATGACCTCCTTGCTGCCTTTGACATTCCTGACATTGATGCGAATGATGCTATCCACTCTGGGCCAGAAGAAAATGAGGGGCCTGGAGACCCGGGGAAGCCAGAACCCAGTGTGGGGGGCGAATCTGGAGAAGCAACAGCACCAGCTGTTGGGGATGGCCCTGGGGCTCCTGCCCAGGCCTGTGACCATGGCCTTCCGCCACCAGACATCTCGGCAGTCAGTGTCATTGTCAAGAACACTGTGTGTCCTGAGCAGTCTGAGAGCCTGGCTGGGGGTTCAGGTGGGGAAGGGGCCCGGGCTGGGGGAGTGACTAAGGAGGGGCCTGTGGGACCCCGTCTGATGCAAAATGGTTTTGGGAGTCCTGAGCCATCCCTCCCAGGAACCCCCTGCTCTCCAGCTCCTCCCAGTGGGGGTTCCTGGAAAGAAAAAGCCATGGAAGGCAAAGCTCCCTTGGACCTCTTTGCTCATTTTGGACCTGAGCCAGGAGAGCATCCAGATCCGCTGCCTCCCTCAGCACCCTCCCCACCTCGAGAAGGGGCCATGACCCCACCTCCTTTCTCCTCTCCCTTTGAGCTGGCCCGGGAGAATGGTGCAGGTCTGCTGTCACATAGGCCTTCCCCACCACTGGGGACCTTGAAGCAGGGCGATTGCAGCCCCCTTCGTCCACCCCTTGCCCGGCGAGGCTCAGGTTCCAGCCCTGAGGGCACAGACATGCCTGCTGGCTCCTCACCTCCCCATGTTGCTGGGGTGCCCTTCTTCAAGCAGTCTCCTGGGCACCGGAGCCCTCTTGCCTCCCCTGAAGTGCCCGGCTGCCAGACTATAAAGGAAGAGGAAGACGATGATGAGGGGCCAGTGGACAAGTCTCCCCCTGGAAGCCCCCAGAGTCCCTCTAGTGGAGCTGAAGCAGCAGATGAGGACAGCAATGACTCCCCGACCTCCTCTAGTTCCTCTAGGCCCCTCAAGGTGCGGATCAAGACTATTAAAACATCTTGCGGGAATATTACGAGAACTGTAACTCGAGTCCCCTCAGACCCTGATCCTCCTGCTCCCCCGGCCGAGGGGGCTTTCCTGGCTGAGGCTAGCCTCCTAAAGCTGTCCCCTGCACCCCCGACTCCTGAGGGTCCAAAGGTGGTGAGCGTCCAGCTGGGTGATGGCACGAGGTTAAAGGGCACCGTGCTGCCAGTGGCCACCATCCAGAATGCCAGCACTGCCATGCTGATGGCGGCCAGTGTGGCCCGAAAAGCTGTGGTTCTGCCTGGAGGGACTGCCACCAGCCCTAAGACAGTGGCTAAGAATGTGCTAGGCCTGGTGCCCCAAGCCCTGCCCAAGGCTGAGGGGCGGGCTGGGCTAGGGACAGGAGGGCAGAAGGTGAATGGAGCCTCAGTGGTGATGGTGCAGCCTTCAAAGCCGGCCACTGGGCCAGGGGCGGGGGGTGGCACAGTGATCTCACGGACCCAGTCCAGCCTGGTGGAGGCCTTCAACAAGATTCTCAATAGCAAGAACCTGCTGCCTGCCTATAGGCCGAACCTGAGTCCCCCTGCTGAGGCGGGACTGGCCCTGCCTCCAACTGGCTACCGCTGCCTTGAGTGTGGGGATGCCTTCTCCCTGGAGAAGAGTCTGGCACGGCACTATGACCGCCGGAGCATGCGCATAGAGGTCACCTGCAACCACTGTGCCCGCCGCCTGGTCTTCTTCAACAAATGCAGTTTGTTGCTGCACGCGCGCGAGCATAAGGATAAGGGGCTTGTCATGCAGTGCTCACATCTGGTCATGAGGCCTGTCGCCCTTGACCAGATGGTGGGGCAGCCAGATATCACACCCCTGCTGCCTGTGGCCGTCCCACCTATCCCTGGACCTCCAGCCCTGCCTGCCTTGGGGAAGGGTGATGGGGCTGTCGCCTCCTCCGCCATTACTACAGTTGCTGCCGAGGCTCCTGTGTTGCCACTCTCAGCTGAGCCACCTGCTGCCCCAGCCTCTGCTTATACGTGCTTCCGCTGCCTGGAGTGCAAGGAGCAGTGCCGGGACAAGTCTGGCATGGCTGCCCACTTCCAGCAGCTTGGACCTCCTGCCCCTGGGGCCACCAGCAATGTGAGTTGTCTTTCACAGCCCTTCCCTGGGGGAGGAGGGATAGCAGATGCTGTGGGGATAGGAGCTGGGAAGGTGTTAGGGGATTTGAGTCGAAGTCATGGGGGACAGGCTGCTGCTTATAACTTAACCTTGTTTCAACACCTCCTCCCACAGGTGTGCTCTACCTGCCCCATGATGCTCCCCAATCGCTGCAGCTTCAGTGCCCACCAGCGCATGCATAAGAGCCGGGCCCCCCACATCTGTCCTGAGTGTGGGGGCAACTTCCTGCAAGCCAATTTTCAGACCCATCTTCGAGAGGCCTGTCTGCATTTCTCTCGTCGAGTAGGATACAGGTGCCTCCCATCCTTCCTACCATGTACTGTCTTGAACATTCCCCTGTGTACTTTATGGCATCATTCCTCTTAGCCCCAGCCTTTGAGATGGCTTCACAAGGAGAGCCCCCATCTTTCCATTGTATACCCCAGCCCTGTTGGGAATCTCAGCCTGAGATATCATCCCCCAGAGGGAGCAGGGCCTTCTGGGGAGCACGGGCTGTGCCTCAGCTGGCCTTCATTGGGGAACTGGGCCTCTGCAGCTCCTTCCTTTCTCTGCCTTGTTCATGTTCCACTGCTGATTTCCTGATAGACCTCAGAACCCACAGTTCCTGAGAATGAGTGGGGGGTGGAGGTGGACATGGAAATGCCTCTGCCTCACTGTGGTGCCCCCTTCTCTCTCCCCAAGGTGCCCTAGCTGTTCAGTGGTATTTGGGGGTGTGAACTCCATCAAGTCCCATATCCAGACGTCACACTGCGAGGTTTTCCACAAGTGCCCCATCTGCCCCATGGCCTTCAAGTCTGCACCCAGTGCCCATGCCCACCTCTACACCCAGCATCCTAGCTTCCACACGCAGCAGGCCAAGTGAGACCTCGGGAGGGAGTGTGAAGAGGAGGGGAGTGGGCTAGGGGGCGGGTTTAGGCCTTGAAGAGGGCTGGATGGGGATGGGGCTCCACGTGTTCCTGCCTGATGGCCACACTGCCTTTTATAACACTGTAGGCTGATCTACAAGTGCGCCATGTGTGACACCGTCTTCACTCACAAGCCCCTCCTCTCTTCACACTTCGACCAGCATTTGCTGCCCCAGCGTGTCAGTGTCTTTAAGTGCCCATCCTGTCCTCTGCTCTTTGCCCAAAAAAGGACCATGCTGGAACATCTCAAGGTAAGGTGTCAAGGAATGGGGGTGGAGCTCAGCAAGTATTGACCTGGAGTTAGGGTCACCCAGCCCTCAGGAAGGGAAAGGGCAGGGGAAAAACAAGTATTTGGCAAAGCTAGGCCCTGCCCCACAACAGGCATCCTCCTCATCTCCCTTTCACAGAACACCCATCAGTCTGGACGTTTGGAGGAGGAGACTGCTGGGAAGGGGGCTGGGGGTGCCCTTCTGACCCCTAAGACTGAGCCTGAGGAGCTGGCTGTGTCTCGGGGAGGGGCAGCCCCCGCCACTGAGGAATCATCTTCATCTTCAGAAGAAGAGGAACTGCCCAGCTCCCCTGAGCCCCCTCGCCCAACTAAGCGGCCCCGACGGGAACTAGGGAACAAAGGCATCAAGGGTGGGGGTGGGGGGCCTGGAGGCTGGACCTGTGGCCTTTGTCACTCCTGGTTCCCTGAGCGTGACGAGTATGTGGCTCACATGAAGAAGGAGCACGGCAAGGTGAGTGAAATCCCCCACAGGGAGCAAGATCAGAGGGGCAGCATTGGGATTGGCCTGTGTGATGACAGGGATGGGGTCCTGGAGTGGGCTCTGAAATCTCCCACCCCCTGCTCTCCTAGTCAGTGAAAAAGTTTCCCTGTCGCCTGTGTGAGCGCTCCTTCTGCTCCGCCCCCAGCCTGAGGCGCCACGTCAGGGTCAATCACGAGGGCATCAAGCGAGTTTACCCATGCAGGTAACCCTTGCCCCCTTGGCCCCTTCCTCTTTCTGCCCATCAGGGGAACCCCCCTCCCACAGTGGCTTCCTGCCTGCCTCCTGTCTGAGTGACTGGAGGGCGAGAGCTCCCTTTGCTCTGGTTGCCACGGGCTTTGGTCTGCAGACTGCCTGTGGTGCCCATGCTGCCCGTTCTCCCCTTCCAGGTATTGCACGGAGGGAAAACGCACCTTCAGCAGCCGCCTGACCCTGGAGAAGCACGTCCAGGGCCGGCATAGCTTGCAGCTTGGGGCCCAGTCCCCTGGTCGGGGTAGTGCCCTGGCTCGGGGCCCTGGTGCCAGAGCCCAGGTAGGCATAAGCCTAGCCTACTGTGTTAGGGTCATGGAGTAGGGACCTGCAGAGTGTAGACCCTAGCCTCAAGAAGCTAGGAGTGGGGGTGCTGGGGGACAGTGAGGGTTACAGAGAAACTCACTGTCCCCTGCACTCTTCTGCAGGGACCAGGACGGAAACGTCGCCAGTCTTCTGATTCTTGCAGCGAGGAGCCTGACAGCACAACTCCACCAGCCAAGTCCCCCCGAGGTGGACCTGGGTCTGGAGGCCACGGCCCCCTGCGTTTCCAGAGCAGCGGCTCTTCGGAGCAGAGCCTTATGGTGGGGTTGAGGGTGGACGGTGGGACCCAGCAGTGCCTTGACTGTGGCCTGTGCTTTGCCTCCCCTGGCTCACTGAGCAGGCATCGTTTCATCAGCCATAAGAAGAGGCGAGGTGTAGGTAGTGCTAGTGCCCTAGGGCTGGGGGATGGAGAGGAAGAGGTCTCCCATCCAAAGTCTGACCCAGAAGGTGGAGATTCACCTTTGCCTGCTTCTGGAGGTCCACTGACCTGTAAAGTCTGTGGCAAGAGCTGTGACAGCCCTCTCAACCTCAAAACCCATTTTCGCACGCATGGCATGGCCTTTATCAGGGCTCGGCAAGGGGGCAGTGGGGACAACTAGGCCCCAAGCCTCTCCTCCCCAGGAACCTGGGTTTCACTGCTGCTGCCTAGTCCCTGGGCTGGGGAGTTACGTTAAGATTCGTCTTGTTTGACTTCCCTCCCCACCAGGGACAAAAAGGCTTTTGAGGATTATAAAATTATTTGTAAACCACCTCTCCCTTTTGGGTTTGACACTTGGGTCCTAGTAGAGTGGGCCTTTCATTCCTTCTTTTTTAGCTGGACACTAATTCTCCTTCAGCTGCAGATCCCAGTGTGGGAATGGGGGTGGGAGGAAGGGACTCCCTTATGCCTCTTAGACAGGAACAGGGAAGGACCAATGCTGGGGAGAATCATGGACACTCCTCAACTTCTTAAGGCACAGGCAGGGATTGTCCTCTGGGCCTGGCCTTGCTCCACGCCCAGGCTCCCTGACACTCAAGCCCCCACCCCTGCAGTGCCTTTCACTCCCCCCCCCCCAAGAAATCCAGAGGGTTGGTGGGAATGAGTCCTGTCGAGAGGGGCCCAGGGAGAGGAAGGGACAGGCTCTCAGGAATCCTTTATTCTTGTAGTAGTAATACTAACAGTGGGGGGAAATGGGAGGGAGAAAAAACAGACCATTAAAACTGCTCGTGGTTTAATCCCCCTTCAGGCTCTTTTTTTTTCTGTGACTTGGACAATGTGGATTTGACAGAAAGGTGAGAGTCAGAACTGGGGAAGCCCCTTAGAAGAGGTGATACTATCTCTCTCCACCGCTTGTGTTTTTTTTTTAGTGCCTTTTGTATCTTGGACACTGAGGCATCTGCTCATTCTCTACCACCCCACTCCCCTGAAAAATAACTCAGAAATGACACAAATGGCTAACTAAGGACTTTTTATTTCAAACAAAAATTAAAAATAAAAAATTGAGAGCTATTTCCCTGGGTGTGGGGAAGGGATCAGAGCAAGGAATTCCCCACTGCTAGGCCAAGACCCTCACGGTGGAGGGGTTGTGGTAATTCCTTTCTTCGTCCCTGGGATGGGGACCCTCAGCAAGTGCAGGAGCCCACACCAGAGCCCACCTGTCAAGAGGAACTCGGGCTAGGGGATCAGTCCCTGGGAAGGGACAGAAGTCAGGCAGCAGCAAGGCCAAAGGCCAACCACAGGATCAAGTCCCAAGTACCAAGAACCTGCTCTTTCCCTCACTTCCTGGGACCTGGAGCAGATTAAGAGGATGGCCTGCGGATAGAACCTCGCAGGCCCTGGTGAGGAGAAAGGCCTGAGTGTCCCCCACATTCATCACCTCTTTTCTATCACCTCTCTTCTCTGGAGGACAGTGAGTCCTGGAGTCTGTCAGGTGGTAATACTGACACAGAGCTGTGGGGCAGAGGACCTCCATGGCTGGCTTCCCCAGCCCCCCATCCCTGGCAAGCTCTTGCAGTTACCACATGATCCTTTGTATCTCTTGCCTTCCATTTCCCTTGGGTGGATGGTTGGGTGGGTAGGGTTTCCTGGTTTTGGGTTTATCAGACAAGGACCCTCCTAGGGCAGTCCCTGGGCCTCCCCACCACTCCTGGGCTTCAGGAGGGTATCACATGATGCCATTGGTGAGGTACTGGAAACCATCGTAGAGTTTGGTGGTGATGGACCGCATGCTGCCATCCACCATCTGCTCCACCAGCAGCTGGAGCTGCTCCTCAGTCATGCTCATGTGGAATCTCTCTTTGAGGTTGCGGATGGTGCTGGAACCATGGAAGCAAGGAAGCTGAGAACCTAGGGGAACAGTAGGGATAGAGGGTAATGAATGAAGAGGAGGGAGGGGCAGTAGTAACAGCCATGGCAAACAGAAACAGGGGTATCTGAAGTGCCCCTTGTCCCCACCTCGGAGAGCCCTGAGAGTGGATGCAGTTTGGTTTGGGCAGAGAAGAGAGGATTGGTGGGAGACCCTGTCTTCAGTCCATTTTTATCCCATACTCCTAAGCCCTCCTGTAGGTGTGGGCAAGCCCAGAGAGGAGGGAACAGGGCCAGTACCCTATCTCCCCCAGTAACAGCAGAGAGAACAGGGTCTTAGGACCTGGAGGGAAGGCTGGGAAAAGGCAATGGGCCCTGAGTTGGGCACTTATCTTGTTGCAGGCCTCTGCCTATGCTACGTCTGACACTCACAGATGACCTGGGCTACCGTCATCACAGGGCCAGATGGGGATGCTCCTGAGCAACGGCGGCAACCTGTGGGGTGGGGCAGGGGTGGGGAGGGGGAGACTGACAGCTCAGACCCTGTGCACACCTGAGCCTTATGGAGGGGTATGGGGACAAGAGCCTAGAGGAGCTGGGAGAGGAGGGGATCCTCGATGAGACATTGTGGATGGCAGGACAGTGAGGAAATAGCCGAGTGAAACAAAGATGAGAGGCAAAGGACATCATCCTCAGCTCCAAGTAGAAGGGGTGAGTAGTGGGAAAGAGAAGGATGGCTGAGGACAGAGCAATCAGGTCAAAGTAAAATGGGGAATAAAGTAGTGACTGAAGTGACAGAGAAGGGAGATGAGGGAAACAGGAGACTGAGAAACTGAGAAGGGATAGGGAGGTTAAAAGAGGTTGGGCAGCTGGAGATGGTAATGGCTCTCCCTCAAGAGGTAGTTCCTGTTGCCACCAGGACCCAGCTCTGTCAGGAGTCAGGAGGAGGGTCTTGAAGGAGAAACAAGGCACTGGATCTGAGCTGGAAACCCTCTGGGGACCTCCCTCCTGATTCCTGGGGTGGAATCAACTTTGGAAGTGCCGTGGTCCAGGGCTCCAACATAAGTGGGTTTCTTGAGGCACTATGGGCACTGCTCTAACCCCACATACCCTGCCTCTCCCCAGTCCTACCTTGTTGCATGATCTCCACAATCTGCACCACTTTATCCATGTGTTTTCGAGCAGCAATCAGCCCCTGGAGCATCAGCATCTTATAGTAGTTAAACATGTCACCATCCAGGCCACCCATCACCTGGGGAGGGAGAAGTGAGTTGAATGCATATGGGGCTTAGAGAGGAAATCATCGCTGTCCCAACAGGCCTACCTCTCAGACCTGGGAGGTCCTTTTGTACTTGGGGAAGACATGACAAATCCCTTTATTTCCCCACTGGCAGGCAAGAAGCCTCCCTGGAAATCCAGCCTCACCCTGACTTAGCCATTTCTGTTGTATTTCTTCCCTAATTTGGGGTAGCCTTATCAGCTCCCCTTCCCATGACGGAGAAAAGAAGACCCTGGCGGCATCTCTCCCTCTGACTCACGTCCACAAATTCTGTGGTCAGCTTAAAGGCTGATGTCTCAAAGCCCAGGTTTCGGGGTGAGCTGGACAGGATGAAGCCAAAGTCGATGTGGATGATGTGGCCTTCTGCATCCAAGAGGATGTTCCCGTTGTGTCTGAGGAGAGAGAGGGGAAAGGAGGAGTACTAAGTCTGACTGAGGCCAGAACCTTAACCTGCAACACGTTGGCCACATGGCATCAGGCAGGAGAGTCCCCTGCCATGTTTCCTGTTGCTTGTAACTCTGTCCAATCAATCTCCTAGGACCTAAAGCGACCAGTATGAAGAAAAGAAAATCTCTAACAAAGGCTGTGGCTTCTGAAATTGCTATTAACAATTTAATAAAAATAGTGTAAGATCATCCCAAATCTCCTGAAATCGTATTTCTAGCACTCAAAAGTGATCCCAATGTACTAAAGAATCCAGAAGCAAGGTGAGAAGGCCTTAGGCTCCGGCAGCTGTCACAGGGGCCACTTTGCTCTGCGGGAGGCCTCCATTCAGACCTATTTACCTGTGTTTTTAATTTCTATCAGCTCTCAGTTGGAATTGACCCCACAAGGATGGGTTTGGTTTTGGTTCTATCAGCCTACTGCACATCGGACGCCCCACCAGAGGGAGCAAGAAGCAGCAAGCAGAGTGGAGTTTAAATGTAAAATAGTGTGGGGGCCTCAAGGGGTAAGTTTTTTTTTTTTTTTTTATATTAGGATTTGGGTGAAGATTTACAGAGTAAATTCACTTTTCATACAGCAGTTCACATATACTTTGTCTCATGTCATTGACCAAAATTTACAATGCAGCAGCTCCCCTCCCACTTCCTCCCCATAGTCACCTCCTCCCAGTGTCCATCCCTTCATACTCTTCTGCACCCTGAGCTATCTCCCTGTGCATAAGCAGCCCTTCCTTCTCCCATGATTGTTCTCTACAGGGTGTGTGTCTACTTGAGGTAAATGTTTAACTCACATGCCTGTACTTTGTTTGGCTGGAAACCACAGTTGTGGGTTCAATTCCAGACCTGAAGGGCAGCTAGGGGCCATAGTCTCAGTGGTTACACCAGGCTCTATTGGACCAGCAAACCTGGTCCCCACCTTCTTCTTTTTTTTTTTTTTTTTGCCTCCAAATGATTTTGAGTTTTGTTTTTTTTTTTTTTTTTTTGCCTCCAAATGATTTTGAGTTTTGTTCCACATTGTTCTCCCTCTCTATTCAGGATCTCCTACATCTCTTCCAAGTGGAATACAGTGGTAGCTGGGCACCATCTAGTTCTTCTGATCTCACAGTTGTATAGGTTGCAGATCGGATGGTGTACCAGTCGCTAGGATTGATTGTTTCCATTAATTTTGGTTTTCTTCTTTCTTCTTGATGAGGAGAGACCCATTGTTGCATCTAGATGGCAGCTTCCTAGCTTTTAAGGTCCCAGTTGCTACTCGCCAAAGTAGTAGGTGGAACAATGTTTTGTATAGTATGTTATGCCAATTGAGCTTGATGTCCCCTGCGACTATGGTCCCAAGCCCGCAGGATCAACTACTCGGTCCCTCTGGGTAGCTGGCTGTGACCAAGCAATGACCATAACCTTGCCCTCAAGGGGTAAGTTTTAACTTTCTGGTAAGATCACTTATAGGAAAAATCTCAGGAGGCAATTACCACAGGCCAGCTGTAGGAAGAGGCATTAAAGGGAGATAAATCCCAGGTCTTTGTGAGTTCTACATAAATGGCCTGTAGAAGGAACAATTAAAATGCTGGGCATGTGAGGCCTGGCCTATTCAGCATAACCAATTTCAGTGTTAAAAGAAGCTTTGTTAGGCCAAAAGCATAGGTCTGAGGGACACCATCTCTGGAGCTGGTCTGACCAACCTAGAAAGGAGGACAGAGGGAGAACGGAGTCCCACCTGAGTCTCTCCCATCTGGGAAAGCATTAAAGACTTGGTAACAACGGCAGAGTCTTCAGCCAGAAAGTCTTGAGATGTGGTAGTCCAACCTCTCACTTTACAGGTGAGGAAGTGACCTTCTTGCCCAAGGTTCCAAGGTTAGTGAGGGCAGTTTCTCTCCAGTTTCGGCGTTAGCTCCAGCTGAAAAGCTGTTTGGGGCTCATTCTGAAGCAGGGACCTGAAATCTGCTTCCAGTTTGGGGCCTTGTTTACTGCTGCCACTTCTTTTCAGTGGCTAACTCTATTCACAGCTTTATTTGAGCTTGTCTTTTTTGAGTTATTACAAAAAGCTATCAACTGCCTCTCCCAGAGAAGGGATGGACTTTCCCTCATCTTTCAAGCATATACAAGTCCCAAAGCAATGTTCTGAGGCCCCTAACACCAGCTTCCCTCCCACCCATTGTCACTCAATCGCAAGGCTGGCTCTAGGCTCTTGGGGCCTTAGATTTAATCCTAACTCTTTAGGGATCCCTGAAGCTTGCAACCAAATTCCTTCAGCCCTCCAGTACTGTGAGTTAGTACAATGAGTTCATGTGTAGGGCTGGCAGGGTGGAGTAAGCACAGGTTCTGAGAGCTCTCTGACCCTTACTTCCCTCATCTGCCAATGGCAATGGAGAACACCTAACACAAGGCTTCCTTATGTTTTACTTAGAATGTCAGGCCATGGCAGATGTTAGAGTTCTGCTAAGCTGCTGTATTAACAAGATCTTCCAGTTGCTGCTATGTCCCTGGGCCCTAGAAGCACCCATTGCAGCTCTGCCTTCCTGGGACAGCTGCACTGTGCTCAGTGAGAGGCTCAACTCACGTGCATTCGGGATACAGACCGTGAGTTGGGAGACACCCTTAGAAGGCAGTGTAACTATCTTTGTACAGTATATTGTTCACTTGGTGTCATATTACCCAATAAGCAAGGTAAGCATAGGCTTACTTGTGCCTATTTACTAATCTATAGTGAACAGTTTCATATTTTTTCACATTAAAGATTCTGCTTCTCAGTATGACTGGCACCCATCTCCAAACCCCACAGCACCTTCCTACGGAATCAAAGCCTCTTCTCACATTTACTCCCTGACAGAGACTTGAGTCTCTGCTTGTCTGTGCTTACCTTGACAGCTCTGGGCAAAATAACAGACACTTGAAAGTTTTGGGAATCATATGTTGGAATGAGAAGAATGAAGAATTCAAGTCTGGGAGTTTCAACTTTATCTCTACCATGTTTCTCATATTCATCGTCTCCTTTCTGCTCTCAGTCACCACCATTATCCTTGGACCAGACCCCATTATCTCTTGCTTTTAACTGTTGCCAGACAAAGACCTAATTACATCCATTCTCACCACAGTCCTTAGGGTGAATGTTTACCCCTGTTCTCACCCACAGGTGCCACAGGGTAATTGCACCCACCCTCATGCAGGCACATCCACTGAACATCGACTAGATCATGTCACTCCTCCCCCTACAAAACACAAAACCATTCAGCCTTACACTGAAGGCCTTTCTTAGTGGACTTCAGCTTACCTTTTGGACATCACCACCTACTGCCCCTCCCCTGCCATGCAGTGCCTCTCAAGCTTTAATCACATGGAATTGTTTCCTCTACTCAGAACATTCTTCTCCCAGAGCTTTCTCTGTCCTCATTTTTCAAAGCGCTGTTCACTCAAATCCTTCCAATCGAACTCACTGCTATCCCCAGTCAATTCTGACTCATAGCAACCCTATAGGACAGAGTAGAACTGCCTCATACAGTTTCCAAGGCTGTAACTCTTCAAAGAAGCAAACTGTCATATCTTTCTCCTGCTGAGTGGCTGGTGCATTTGAACTGCTGACCTTCTGGTTTGCAGCCAAGTGCTTTAACCACTACGCTACCAGTGTTCCTCACTCAATCCCTTACTCCTCCCACAAATCCTTTGTCCTTTTACTCTAGCCTTTGCCAGTCTGCCTCCTTACTTTAATGTCACACGAATACATCTGTCTCTGCTTAAAATATGTTGTTGGCTTCAGCTTCACATCTTGGTAAGGTGTTAATGAGTAAATGATAATGATACATGAATGAACCTGGATAAAAGGTTAGGATGAGGAACAGGACCTACCTGTCCTTGACTTGCAGCAGGTAGCAGACCAAGCAGTAGCCAGCGCAACTTTGTACAAAGTTGCGCTGGGCACTAAGGAATGCCTCTGTAGTGTAGCTGCCATGCTCCTGTAGGAAGTAATCGAGCAAGGAGAGCTGTGACTGTTTCTTCACCTGATGGATGGACACAGCGTTGACTACTGGTTCAATCATGCCACTATCAGCCGAAATCACAAGAATCTTGTATGGCTTGATCCAAAGAGGTACTCGCTCCTGTTCCCAAATGGACTGTGAGGAGACAGGGAGGTAGGTATTGGGACTATCATCTTTCTCCAAACTGGAAAAGGAGGCTAAAATTCCCTCTGACCCCAACCTCTCTCCTTGGTGGCCTAGAATTCTAGGGCTTGTGGACTTAACCACTGGAGTTCTGGTAGCTCAGTGGTTAAGGCATTTGGCTGCTAACCAAAAGGTCAGTGGTTCAAACCTACCAAGTGCTCTGTGGGAAAAAGATGAGGCCATCTGATTCTGTAAAGATTTATAGCTTTGGAAAACGCAATGGGGCAGTTCTACTCTGTTCTATAAGACAGAGTATATGGCAGTGGGTTTATACTGAGGACCAGGGAGTTTTGAAAGAACTCAAAGGCTTGACAAAGACATAGGGCATAAGACACCTCACTCAGAGGTGAGTGAAGGTATCTTACAGGTGGAAAGTCCAAAATAATCAGGAACAATCATAGGAAATCTATGATCACCTCACAAGCAGAGAAAGGGAACTATTAAGACTAATTCAAAGAATAAAAAGAAAAACAAAAGGATTTAGGTCCAGAGAAAGCTTTTTTAAAAAAGAAAATATTCCTATTATGAACTGGATTAAACAGCTGAAGTTGCTTGTAGGTGAGTAACCCAGGGTGCTCAGAGGATCGATACCTCGGCACACCAGTAACCCACTTGCTGCAGACCAGTTGATGAGTTCTGATCTAAAGGACAAATCTTGAAGTTTCCTATCAGAACAGAGCTGGTACAGTTCATAAAATGGCCAAAAGAGGTCGTTGTGGGGCTGTTTCAGAGGCTGTAAGTCCCAGGGAAAAGTAGCACCAGGATTAGTCTAATAAGCCTCCAATTTAGACCCTGGGTGGGGTGGGGGTGGGGGTGGGGGGGTGGTGTGTGTGTGTTTGTGTGTGTGTGTGTCTGTCTGTCTGTCTCTGCGGCCACCGTGCAGCAGTGGCAGCAGAAAAGCAATTTAACTCCCTGCAGAACCACCTGTGCGGTCACGTCAGGTGGGTGGAGCTGGGCTGAGTTCCTTTTACTTCTCCCTCCCCTCTCTTACCTGCAGTTGCTTCAACACCTGGAAAGCTAGCAGTTCCTGCCGAAGGTCATCTCCACACTTGACAATGACTGACAGGAGCCGCCAGTTGGGGAGATGACCATAGGGGGAAGCCTCTCGGATCCGCCTGTGAAGGAAAAGGGAAAAGTGTCAAAGGGTACATCCACAGTGAGGACAGAAACAGTTTCTACCAAAAATCCAAATCTAAAAACACCTCACAAAGCAAAGACTGCCTGGGTTCCAGCGTAGATCATTTTTTGTCCTTGGTTTGTCTCTATGTATAGGGACTTTGGGAGGCTGATGGACAATACAGACTGCCTATGGGCTTTAAGGAGTGGAAAGACCTGCATCCAACTCACCGCACTTTCTCCTGCCAGGGCTCTTTGAGAGCAACTGCAGAAGGGTCTTCTGGGTCTCGTTTGAAGGCTGTGGGAGTGTGAGCCAGTTGTTCTGAAAGGCGCCGTCTAGCAGGAAGAAAACACATAATTTGCCTGAAGGAGTTACCCCAGAGCCTCACTCCCCTACGTGTATGCTGGCATTTCCTGAGCTGTTTCCTTGATTCTGGACACTCACATGTAGGAACCTAAGCTGAGAGAGACTCATGGAAGGATATGTACCAGTGATACCTTTTGCTAACCTGGTGGTTTGCAATCATGTTAAAATGCCGATCACCAGGCCCTCCCTTACTCCTCCACTAAGATTCTGATTGAGAACGGGGTATGAAACCAGAATCTACATTTCAAACAAGATATTCTCCTCCTCAATTCTGATACATGTGATCCTCAGATTCCACTTTGAGAAACACTCCTCTAGTGCTTTCATCACTTTAGAGTCCTTTTAAAGTTTTACTTCTTTCTGTAGTAGCCCAGGACATTTTTCAACCTGCACCTTCAGGACAAGAACAGAGTAACAAGAAGGAAAAAGACTAAGATGCAGGCTGACAATAGAATAGAATAGAAGGTTCAGACAGAGATGAAGGAGACAGAGAGAGAGGCATGCCTGAAAGAGGGATGAGAAATGAGGGGCAACATGATCTGGCCATACCGGATGTCCCCTGCTGCAATGAACACAGGCTCCTTGCTTTCCTGGCTGGTGATACTGTCCACAGAGAACTGGGAGATGTTGTCACAGCTATTGGTGTGCACTTCAGGGAGCTGGGGAGAGGTGGTGGTGGGGAGAGTCAGAAGGACCAAGCACAGGTCTCTGTTCTTTCACACCTCCTCCATCTATCACTTCCTGCTTCTTTGTGTGTCATCTCCGGCCATGTTCATCCCCGCCCTTCCAAATTCTGCTCCAGAAAGCCTCTCCTGGTGACAAACCATTCTGACTCGTTGGACCCAAACAGCCTAGGCACTTATATAGACGCTACAGCAATGTTTCTCAAAATGTAAACTATCTGTATCAGAATGCTTGCCAAAAGGTAGGTTTCCAGGCCCCACTCATATTCTCAGAATTACTAGGAATAGGATCTGAGAATCTGAATTTTTAACGAGTGTTTCAAAAGACTCCTAACACTAAAGTTTGTAAACCACTACCATGGCTATCACAGAAACCTGTACTTTCTCATAATGAGAGCTCCCTAAGCTAGGAAAGCTCTCCAGACTAAATTCCTCCGGCCATTTCTTCACTTTAAGCCATCTAGTCCTACCCTCATCTTTCTTTAACTATAGAATCTTCTACCAGATCCCCAAGTTCCTTCTCTTTCCTTTGTACCAGAAATGCTTCTCTTTAACTCACCACATACTTACTGCCTTGTTGTATATATTATCTTTTTTTTTTTTTTATATGCCTATATCCAACTTCCTCAATTAGACTGTACGCTCAAGGACAGAGATTCTGTCTTTTCACAAAGAAATCCGTCTGGGTCATGGCCTTATTTAACAGTCCTGCTCTGGTTTCCTGGTATACTCAGGATTAAGTCTAGATGTCTTTCTAGAGTTTACAGGATCCTTCCTACAGTGTGACCCATATGGCCTTTCCAGCCTCATTCCTCACCACTTCCCACCTCACCCACACAGCATCACAGCCATCAACATTTCTCTCATTCTCTAAAATGGGCCAAGTCTCCCTTGTCTTCCAGTTTTTGCATGTGCTATTCCCTCTGCCTATCATATTCTTTGCCCAGCTAATCTCTACCAGCTGAGATGTTACTCCCTCCAGGAAATTTTCTGACTTCCACACCGAGTCTGCCTTAAGTACTACCCCCACCCTCAGGTGCTTGCATACACCCCATCCTCTATGCCACAAGCTGAGTCACATCATACTACAACTACCTGTGTACTGATCTTGTTCTCTCTCCTGTTAGGTCACAAACACCTTGCAAACGGGCAAGTCTTGATCATTATTAGCACACTATACTCAGTTCTGGCACAAAGAAAGCCCTCGATAAATATTTCTTAAATGAATGAATATATGAATTGTTTGCTATCCTAAGAGAACACTATATAGCAGGTGTTCAGTGAGTATTTTGATTCCTTCACTTTCCAAGTCTGCAAGTTCTTCCTTACATTTCATTTGAATTCCTTCTTCAGGAAAACAAGTCTACCTGAATCTATTCCAGACTAGCACCGTTTAGTTTTTCCTTCTCATAATCCTTACTACCTACCCCACTCATTTGGACACTTGCCTCTGCCTGCCTCAGGGTGTGCAGTCTTGTCTCAAATATACTGAAAGCTCCTGGAGATTAGATCCTGTGTCCCAGTCATTACCTCCTTGGAGCTCCCTCACCTCCACCTGCAGGTCACCTATGTCGTCCACTGACCAGGCCTCATCATCATTGTCATAGTTGGGCACAGTGCTGAAGCTGCCTGCCCGTTGCTCATGGGTGATACCACATTCGGGAAGGTTCTCCACAGACCGTGTGCTCCGAATTCGGTTCTCGGGGATCCGGGCAGGAACACTGGTGGTGTCAAAGTTTTCACATTCAAGGACTTCCACATAGATCAGGTAGGGAGCCTGAGGGGAAAGGGGGAACAGTATTTGCAACTTATCTCCAACACTATCCCCCAAATCTCAACTCTGTTAACACACTTCCTGTTGCCGACCTCCCAATCTCATCCATTAATCCCCTGACACTACGAGGACCCCTTTTAGGGCAAGAACTTGTCCTATGAACACCTACATGAGGAATCTGGGCAGGAAAGGACACAAGCCTTCAAAATATTTCAGCTGAGCTTCAAAATGTATAAATGAGACACTTGGGCAAAACCAATTCCAAATATCAATTATAACCCATTAGAGAGGCTTAGAACCTTCTGTGAGCTTGTCCTAAAGACGGGCCAGGAAGCTGCTGTGAACAAAGACAGAGAATAAAGCTGGGCACAGCCCTGAGGAGGATTCTCAAGAAGAATCTGAACCGTAACACTCTTTCCATCCAATAGACCAATTCAGCTAGTTCTCTCCAATACAAATCAGGCAACCTTTTCTCTTTTTCCTGCCACTCTAATCAGAAAAAGCTTTAGAAACAAAATATTTCTCTGCCTTAGTTGCTGCTGTATCTGGAAAGCCTAGGAGTTACAGAAAGGCTGAGGAAGAGCTATCAAAATGTCTGTGAAAAGGGGCTGGGGAGTTAGGATATTGGGAGATGTAGACACATATACAAACACAAACCACAAACATGGTTGGGCACATACACAAACTCTGGACAATCAGGGAATAGAGTCAGGTTACAGGTAGAATTTTGGTCAGAGTGCATCTACCTTGTCCTTGGAATTGAGGACAACAGCCTGGGTATGGGGTACGCGGACCACGTGGTGGTCAAAGCCAGCAGTGGGCAGCCAGACTCGGGCAGGGAGTTTATGGTTGAGCAGGGAGAGCTCTGAAATCAGCCGCTGTGTCTTCTGCTCCTTGGTGGGGAGTGTGGCCAGCCGCTTGCCGATTGCCATCAGAGACTTGATGAACTCTCGCTCAGGAGCCAGTCTGATGGGCTAAAGGAGATTGAGGTAAAACAGAACAGGGTAAAAAAAAATCATAGTAAAAAGTGGCCCACTCACTCAGTTCCTCCTTGACATGCAGGGCAGATATCCCAGTGTCTGGAAAACTCCAGGGAAGGAGCTACCTTTTGGTCTTAGTAGATCTTATCCCACCCCTATCAGCTTGACTCAGGAACAGGTAGAACAGGCTATTCCTTGAAGGAATGGGGGCCTTGAATCCAGCCATGATAAGTCACTGGGAGGCAGCCCTCTTTTCTTAGACTTGAGTGTCTCAGGGGCTGTCCTAAGGCTTCAGGCTAGGCAGGGAACAGCATCCAGAGGTGTCAGTCACGGCCCCAGGGACAGGAGCTGCTTACACCTGAAGTGCCTCACTCAGCTCAAGAACAGGATTGTCCCTCTCCCTGTTTGGATCCTCAGGCTGGATCTCTGCTGAGGGGGCTCTGCCAGAGCCACAAGGCTAGGGGTGGGAGCTCCGAGTCAATATTTCCCCTTTCAAAGAAGGAAAACTCTTTATTCACATGACTTTTGTTGCTTTTCATGGCATTCCCCTGCCCAATCTCACAATCTCTTACAAGGGATCAATGCACATGCAGGGGATGAACAGACTTTACATCAATGAGGGGACAACTGATAAGGAAAGAAAAGCAGATGGAAGGAGGGAGATGTGAGCAGATGGATGGAGAAAGTGATGGCCTCTTTTAGTGGTGTTGATGGCCTTGAAGGCCTGTCTCTTTTTGGGATTCCTCTTTGGGTCCTCTCCTCAATCTCTCAGGGCCTAGGCTCCCCTTCTTAGTTCCTGCTGAGAGCTTAGCTCCTCATACTGGGAACTTCAGTCATGCCCAGAAAGGGCAAAGTCAGTCTGGGGAATAAGGTGGGGGTGGGGAAAAAGACATTGCTCAACAAGAAGAAGGGCTTTTTTTCCAGCTGACATCCTTCTACAATAAGGGGGATTTACCATGATAGCTACCCAACTCCCCATCCCATGTTCCCTCAGGTAGACAAAAGTAAAATCCTCCTCTGGTAGAAACCGTTTCTCTCTCCCTCTGTGTGTTTTGCTTAGTTTTCTGATTGAGAATGTCTACCCTCACTCCCTCACACTTCTTCTGAGAGCTGGGCAGTACAGGGCCCACCCCTGCATATGCAACAGAACCAAGGTCTAGAGGGAGAGCTCATCTCTCAGCCTCTGTCTCACAGGGGGGCTGGCACAGAGTCCCACACAAGTAATGAAACAGGGTGTCTGAATCAGTCAGGAATACTTTGGCAGGCAGGACTGAAAAGAGATATAGAAAGAAGGACAATAGAATAATGCTTCTGTGGCCCCTGGAAATGTCTGGGGGGCCTAATGGGGAAAGAGAAAGAAAGGAAGAGGAAATTTAGAAATTTACTCCTTCCTTTATCCTGATCCCCCTAATCCATCCACTCAGGTGGCAAACAGTCCCAAGGACCCGCCACCCCAACCAATTCATAATCATCTCAGATGAGAAAAAGTAGACCCCATCCTCCCATATCCAAATCAACATTTGGGTCAGGGGCCCCCAAATTACTTGAGCATGTTAGAAATGTGACCCCAGGCCTTGAGAGAGGCTCTGCCACATGGGAGGAGACAGGGATCATGATTGAAAGGGGATCAGCATAGAACAGAGAAAACTGATTGGATAGACAAATCAAAAAAAGTAAAAAATCATCCAAACTCCCAGAGGGTCCAGCATTTCCTCTCTCGTCTCTGCCCAGCAATAAGGTTTGAGACTGAGGGACCAGAGGGTCAAGGGTTAGTCTAGAGGTCATCCAGAGGGAGCAAGAAAGGAGAACAGGGATTAAGGAACATCCTGGGCAGTGACCTGGGAAAAGGGAAGAACTCAGACCTGGAAGAAATGTGGTTGAAGTTACAAAAGAAACTGGCTACAGGGAAGCAACTTTCCTTCAGGCCAACTCCTGTTTTCTTTTTACCCAGCATAGGGCTAGCATTTACAAGACACAGAATCAATATTTGATGATGGCCTGATGGTAGAAACCAGGGGGAAAGGGTTCTGGGTAAAAGAAATAGGCTCTTAGAGGTTTCTGTCAAGCAGTTCCTTGCTCTCTCCCAGCTGTTTGCTCTGGAGACCAGGAGCTGGGGGCTGAGTATCACTACATGATGGCTGTCTCTGAGAGAAGACCAACTGAGCCCAACTCAGACTGGACTCTGCACACCCCAGCAGCAAGGAAAAGGGAGACTCTTCAGGTCTGGGAGGTGGAGAGGGAAGGGCTGGTCTCCCAGGAAGAAAAGAGGCCTTTTAACTGTAGCTTTGACCTGGGGGCTCAGGTCGACCTGGGGACGGAGAGGAAATGCGGCCATGGGGGGAGCTTGCCACCCAGTCCCAGCCTGGCCCCACTTACGGAACTGAATGAATTATCAATACTCTCGGTGCTGGAGGAGAGCTCCTGGGAAAGGGCCAGAGGGCAAGGGGAGGGGGAGGGGGCGGGGAGGGAGGGGAGAGAGACAAAGGCAAAGAATTTAGCTCCAACTTGGATCATAACTGCTTCTCTGTAGCTCTTCCTTTCTGCTTTAATGAAAGAGTCAACCCAGAAACACCACTTGCCCAGATTCCTAACACCTGTGCAAGAAGCTAAAAGGCCAGCTCAGACCCTAAGCAGGTCAAGAGGGTGAAGAGACTAAGTGACTTCTGCTTTTCACTTTAGTCCTTTCTATTCTTGCCTGTGTGAGGTCTTCTAGAACAAAACTCTCAAGCTGGCTCCCTAGGGAGGTGAGCAGCTTTGCCTTAACAAGCTTCTCTGCTCTTCACACACTCACGTAGTCACGCACTCACGTGGTCTCGACCAAACCCTTCTCCATGGGGACTGCCACAGACAGACTGAATGTAACATATTGCATGGCCCCCTATGGAAAACCCCATGTTCTTCCAGCTTCTTGGAAACCTCAGAGAGAAAGCAGAAGGGCTAAACTTTCAGTGCCAGGTACACCTCTTAGCAGTCTCATTATCACCCTGGGAAGCCTAACCTCAAACTTGAATCTGTGTGACAAAGAACACCCCAGACCCATGAACTTGAAACCTCTGGATTGGATACTGGTGGTAGTAGCAAAGAACAAACCTGACATCTACTAAATCTCTTTAGGCTTCCTTATCAGACTATTTCACATAACACTCAATAAACTACAATTTTTTTGATGTAAGGTGGAGAGCTAGGTTCTAGCTAAATCCATTGAGAAGGTTAAACAGCTGGGCAGCTGCTATGTTAGTTCCAGCCCAAGGGGTTTATCTAATTATCCCCCACCCCCACCCCATCCTGTGCCTTACGGTGGGTGCCCGTGAGCAAAAAAAATGGACAATGGGGAGGTAGTCAGAGTCTCATTCAACAGTTTTGCTGCAGCCCTCCAAGATATACCCAGGCAAGGAGTAGGGGCAGCAAGTGTGCACAAACCTGCAAGGAAGGGGACTGAGCTTAAGAGTCAAAGTCTTGAGAGCTCCCAGGGCAGGTGGCCCATGGTCATGGTCATGGTTTCTACTCTGGAATCACCATTTCAGCATCTACTTAATTCAAGCCTATGGTTTAAGTTCTGTTCTATCTACAGGTTCCCGTAAGCAGGTCCTTCCTTGAAGAATCCAGGGAGAAGGACACTTCGAGGGAGAGATCAAGCTTGGAAATATTCCTCCAGGGCAACAAGTCTTGCACTTTGGGTAGAGGTGGGAAGGAGAAGAGAGGCAGTGAGGATGCCAGGGTATGACATGGTGGTTCAATTTACACTCATGAGTTAGCTGGGGAAAGAACAGCAGCCAGGACAGTGGCTCGATGAGCAACTCTCCAGCTGATTCTCCCACAGACAGGTCCACTGTCTGACTTATTCACAGCCTGGAGAGAAGGGAGGTGTATCATTACCTGCCCCTCCCCTCCTGTTCCCAGGGCTTGAGTCACTCATACTGAGTCAGCTTCAGGGAGCACAGCCGAGTCCAAGAAGCTGATATCAAATCATATCAGGCTAGAAGGCCCACTGAGCCTTTCAGTGTGACCTGACACGTGGATTTCTCTGTCCAAGGGTTGCCACTCTGAAAAGACAAAGCTAATCTACTAACAGTATCTCCATGTGATGTGGGGGTGGTACCAAAATTATTCTCTGGGCTTCACCCCCCACCAAAATATTTAACATTTGATTACAAATGGGAAGAAAAACTGCCTGAGCAGAGTTGCCAGACTAAACTGACATAACACTGCTTTAAAGGAAAAATGGTGGGAGATGGAAGAAGTCAATGCTAGAGCCCCTGTTGGAGGAGTGTAAAGAATTCCTCAATTAAAGAAAATAGAACCCTCTGTAAGATCTGGGAAGAAGAGCTCATTAGGGAGATGGGCAGGAAGAGAGCTGAAGAGCAGTCATGGGCCACTGCCCTGAAGTCTCTCTTCACCTTTCTGAGGCTTCTCTACTAGTGGTGGGAGGGTAGGATCAAACTGGGACCCTAAAAAGGAAAGCAAAATTTGGAAGCAGAGTGTCAGGTGGTACCTAAAGATTCTCCTAGTGTCTCTGTTCCAGCCTTGAAAAATTATGGGTTTTGTTTTAACAAGCTGTTTGTTTCTTGCTTATAAGCAAAAAACAGCTTTTTGAGAGAGTCACATACTAAACTTTTCCCTAGACAAGGGGGTTTCTCTATTACCCTGTAAGTTCCCGGAGGGCAGGGACAGGGTAAATAAAACCTTTCCATCCTCCACTGCCTTAGTACAGGGCTTTGCATATCGTGTAAGCTCAGTAACTATTTTCTGAATGAATAAATGTGGCATGATGGGCAGGAGGAGTAGGAAGTCAAAGGAGGAAAGCCAATCCCCTTGGTATTTTAGGGACCACGATAGATGTAGCCTCAAAATGCTCCTGTGCTTAAGAATATTTTTAGATGCCTAGTGATACACCTATTTATTCTCTCTCACTCGATCACATTTCCTGAGGAGCCAGATTGGATTCAGGTGTCTCATTCTGCCAGCATCAGGTAACTTCTGAGTACATGGGGATGAGGTATCTCCTTTCTTTCCTGGATGCAGTGATCCAAGCTAGAGTCAGGTTGGGAAAAACAGCAGCTGGGGAACCTATCTTAGAGGATACAAGCACTCACAGAATACCTGCCTCTCAGTGCCACCCACCTACAGTGTCATCCTGGAGCAGGACATAGATACATGAAAGAGGGTCTAAGGACCATCAGTTAGAAAAGCCCTGAGACCTCAGCTTTTCTGGCCCTAAGATGAGAACTACAAAATGGTTACAGAGAAAAGCCAAGCCTGACACGGGGCAGCCAGCTGCTCACATTCACACTGCCAGGGGCCTGGCCCTTTATGAATCTAGAATCTTCTACAATCTTTTCTACTCTGCAACAACCTCCCTTCATGATCTTGGACTCCACTGTCAAGCTCAACCAGAAATGAAAAGGGTCCATTCTGGTTCTGAGAATGGCTTGCGTCATGGATATGGAAGCCTAGATGGCCGAGGCCCTAAGCCAATTCTCTCCAAATGGCCTCTTACAGCTGGGAGGCCTAGACAAAACTAGCAAGGAGGCCTGGGGAAGTGAATGTGGAGAAATAATGAAGGTAGCCCAGCTGAATGACTATGAGCACCAGGTCTGGATCTGAGTCCTGGTCTGGTATTCATTAGTTGAGAGATCTTCAGCAAATCAGCTACCTCTCTAAGTCTTTCGCTGGTAAAATAATACTTATCTCTTAGGGTTAATTGTGAGGAATAAATGTAAAGTAACTGGCACAATGTCCAGCATATATCCAAAACCAAACTAAACTCATTGCCACTGAGTCGGATCCGACTCATAGCGACCCCTCCTTGGGTTTCCAAGGCAGTATCACTACGGAAGTAGATTGTCCAACCTTCCTTCTGAGGAGTGGCTGGTGGGTTTGAACCGCCAGCCTTCTGATTAGCAGTCAAATGCCTTTGGCACTACACCACCAGAGCTCCCCTAGCACATAAGTGCTCAATAAATGTAAGCTCTTTTAGCTCTACTGTTATTTTCATTCTGGGCCAACTATTAGACCAAATTCTAATAAAATACCCAATTGCCAGAGAGCAAGCTCTGTAGTTTCCCTGCCTACTGCTTTTCCCTTCCCTAGTTACTCTGACCTCCCCCTAGCTGAAAGGAGTCCCATTGTATCAGAAATGTGGGTGGGTACGTGCCCCACAGAGGCAGATGCCAGGACCACGACTATGTGAGATTTCCAACAAGTGCAAATTCCTTGTTCTTTTCTCCCTTCTTTCCTAGGCTGGAAGCCAGGATGGACGCCTGGTCAGTGGTGAGTCAGAGGGGAAGACTGGGGCACCATTGTCTGGCTGGGACACCAGGCCACCAACACTTAGCTGTCCACTGGCCAACTTCCCCTATCTGTCCAGATGTGAAGTAGAGGGTGGTTGTAAGCTACTGATGTACTCATCCCCTCCCCTGCTTTGTATCCTGAATTACATACCCCCAACTACTGCTGCAGCTTCCTCTTCTTCCCAGTGTATAGGTCCTTGACTAGGCAAGATTTATTCTCTTCTTTTTTTGCTTCTCCCAAATGATATGGGAAAGATACTAGCAACACATCCCTCCACCAAGGAAAGACAGGCAGGAGGGCATTCTGCAGATACCTCAGGGACAGGGAATGAACTCTACCCTAATGTCAACAAAAAGCAGGCTCTTCAGGGGGTGGGGAAGAGGGATTATGAGGATAGGTGGACAGAAGAATGAAGCGGGTGTTCTATTTAACATTTCTCCCACTCTAGCACAAAGAACATAGTCCCTTTTCCTCCACAATCTCTTAGCAGCTCTGGTAGTTATGCCAAGTCTCAAGTTTGGGTGTGTGGGGGGGTCTCTGCCACAGTTCTTAGTAAGCAAGTAGTTAATGGAATGCCAGGGCAATTTAGTATAAACAACAATGGATGGATGGGCTGGAGCATCAGCTTTGCCATTAACTAGCTATATGACCGGAGGCAAGTCACTTTATCCTCTGGGTCTCTGAGTCTTTCCTTTGTAAAATGAGTCAGTTGGAATACATGCATTCTAAAGTCTTTTTCCATTGTAACTTTCCATGCTTTTATCACAGTGAAATGAAACAGAAGGAAGGAGAGAAAAGGACAGAATAACCCTTTGACAGACATCCTATCTCCATGCAGCCCTCTGCCACCTTGTCCCTCCCCAGAATTTTACCTCATCCTCATTCTCCACTTTAGGGTTGCTGGCTGTTCGTTTCAGGTTGCTGCTGAGACTTATGCTGGCAGTGGCATCTGACTTAGAGCGTTGGTGAGTCCTTTTAGAAGGAGACAGCCCTGTGTCGGGGGCTGGGCTCAGGGATGGTAGCTCCCTCTTTCGGTGAGCTGGCTTCAGCTCATCTGAGAGGATCAGCTTCCGTAGCTTGGTCCCACGGGAGTGTCGTTGAGTGGAAATGTGCATGTCTGAAGAGTAAGCCCCGAGCAACAGGGCACACTGGAGGGAAAAGTTAATGCTCTGGCGGCAGCGGTGGACTATGTAGGGCTTGATGGCATCACCCACGTCCTCATCCATGTGGATGTACATGTTAAGCAACTGGGGCAGATAAAAGTCCACGTCCTCATTGCGAAAGCAGAAAAGCCGGTTGCCAATGTAGGCTTGTACTCCAGGTTCCTTGGAGTTATACAGGTATGAAATGGCCATGGAGATGTCAAATAGTTTTGACTCAAACAGCCTCAGCAGCCAAGACTGTTTGGCTGAGTTGTTCTGCCGCCGCCTTCTTGCTCCTTTGGCTGTGCCTGAAGCCACAGTGGCCCCCATCTCATCTTCCTCCTCCCTTATCTGGGCAGTTGGATCATCTAGGCAACGGATCTCACCATCCACACCATCCCCATTGACCAACTCCAGCGGGGTACCTCTGCTAGAGACGGCTACACCTCCATGCAAAAGCTTCACTTTCTCCAATACCTCCTGGCAAGCCTTCTGGGCCACCTCAGGGTCAATCACTGATAGTTCCCCGACCCCCTCTGTGATGACACTTAGCAAGGAGCCCCCATTATTCCCTGGTGGGCTAGAAGTGGGCTCAGAAGTTGGCTTCAGAGGGGCAGGCTCCACTACTGTGTCTCCCATGGCCACAGCCAGACTTCAAGCTTCCAAGCTACAGGAGGAAGAAGGGAAAAAGGAAAATAAAAGGAGACACATACATACACTGGTTAGTGCTAACATCCTTAGGTCTTTCCTCCTCTATGAAGCCTTCCCAGGCACCATCTTTTTGTCTTCCTGGACTCCTTAAAATTAGACAAAAAGTTATTGCTTTCCAGGAGGATTTCCCTAACTACCTCCATTTCTGATCTTTGCATTACTCTTCATTCCTTCTGTACTTGGCTACTTAGCTTAGCCTCTGTTCTTAACTTGTATTTGTGAAATGTTGCTTTTGTGTATTATGCTTATACAGGTTTATAAATTCTTCAGGCAGACTGGGGAGGCATTCTGGTCTAACTGTCTTGTGCTTAACTCTTCAAACACTTCTCTATAGTCTTGTCTCCCTTTAAATGATTGCTTTAATAGTTTAAAATTAAATCGTTTAAAAGGGGGGCTTCCACGAGTAATTTTTTCTTTTCCCCTTTAAGCTGTTACTTCCCTACTCACATAAGATCCTATAGAGAGACCCTGTACATCTCACCTTTATTTCATATTGAAGTATTGATGTATTTTTCCTAGTTATAGGTATGTTGTTCTTACCTTCCCTCTCAGATACAAAGCTCGTAGGCAAGAAAGGCCAGGAGATACCATGCCAGGCTTCATTTAGAAAAAAACTGCCCTAAAACACTCATCACCGACCCTGCTGAAGTTGTGCCTTTCACGCCCCATCTGTCTTCATGGACATAACCCTCCACTCTAGTGGAAAGAACCCTGAACTTAGAATCAGATTGGCTAGGGTTCAAATCCTGGCTCTGCCATTATGCTATGTGTAAACTTATGCAAGCCACTTATCTTCTGAGTTTCCGTTTCATCAGCTACAAAAATACCTACTTCTCATTGCTAGTGTGTGGAATAAATAACTTCATATGAAAGGACCCAGCACAGACCCAGGCACACAGTAGTACTGAATGCTAACTGAATCCTAATCATCTAAAATGGTTAGTATATAGTATGTGTGTCCACACAAATATATTGTTTTATAAGGGAGTGAATTAAGAGTTACACTCATTTGTTTGAGAACCAAAACATTTAGACAGCCTGCATCTATCCACACATTACTTGCCCACTATCATACAAACACTCTGAGAACTAGAGGGGCTCTGGGATGGCAAGAAGAAATCTGGCTGGAACTCATGGGTCTAAAATTCCAAAGAACAGGGAGGAACAGGAATCATATAACTAAGACTCTTTCTCTGGAGGAGCTCCAAAACAAAGTCTGTGAAACAATGCTACTGACAAAAGCCATTGCCCTCCAAGAGCAATTCTTCAGACCCTCATACCAAATCCAGATCTGGGCAATCAGTGCAGAATAGGAGGAAATTTCAAGGCAGGGACTGAGAGAGAGAGAGAGACACTGTTAACATCAGATCAACCTCAGCTCCCACGTTTGGCTGTAGCCAACAACGGTCTCAGAGGCCTCTTCACAAAAATGCAAACAAAGTAGGTGTGAGACATATTCAGAGGCTTTTGTAGAGCTGGACTGAAAGTTATTTCCAACTATTAGTGACCTTACATTTTGATCCTGGTAACTCTGGGTGCACATAAGTTGAGGTGAAAGGAGGCTGGAGCTATCAATTCTCTAGTCACTCATTATCTCGTGGAATCCCCCCTTTACACTTCTACCCTTCCAGGGCCTGCCTTTTCTTACATCTCTGAAATGTTAAATGGGAAGGCAACTTTGATCTGCCCAAGATCATACAGTCTAGCTCCCTGCCTCCCACTAGTCACCACCCAAGGCTTGCCAGAAATATAGATGGGGAGCTCTTCTGTTCTCAGAGATCACTGAAAAGGAGGTACTTCAGTTTGTATTTCTCCCAACTCTATCAAACAAGAAGTTCATCCCTGAATTTAATTCCCCTGATGCAGTCTGAGTTTGGAATCAGTAAGATAACAACTTTTTCACTCTGATCTCCCCCTATTAAACTATGCCCTCTGAGCAGTAGAACCAGCACGGCTGCCTATGTGGATCTGTCTCTACTCGCATCTATGAGGTGCACAGGAATAATAAGGAGGAAGCTTTAATCATTCCCTGCCACACCTTTGCATGGCACTCTGCACCAGAGGGTCACTGTGATCCAACTGGAACCACCTATGTTTTAGATCTGCTTAGAAACTCCCATGGTAGCCTAGAAAAATTGTCCCATACAGCCAATTCTTCTTCTCAGTCTCTCTGTGCTTGACATATCCTTCCCTTTCGCTCTATTCCAGAGACTTCAAAGTCACTGAAAGCTCCTAAAAGTTCTCTTTTCTAAACAACCAAGGAATATGAAACTTGGACAATTTCCCACATACAATGTCAGACCTTAGTAGGAAATTCAATAGACAGTCCCTCAACTGATTACGAATGGATTACCAGCACCAGGAAGGGAGGTAAGGATATCACCACTTCTTTTATCCCATAGGCAAAAGAAGAAAAATTCTTGGGATTCAGCTGGGAACCCCCTTTCACAGTATTTCAGAAATTTTCCCACAGAACAGACTCCCCTGTTTTATAGCCTTTATTCTCCAGGGAAGCAGACATGCCAAGAGGTTTGGGAACACCAAACTCCTCTATGTAGGAACTTTGCCACTAGAAATCACCTATAGTTGGGCTTCCCTCTTGGCCTCACCGGGATTCAGGGACTGACTCAGGGACTGCCTGCACCTGTAGCAAGTCATGGGGGGGTGGGGTATATGAACAGAATAGGGTTCTGTCAATTTGGACTGTGAAAAATAGGAAAGGAATTCTCTAAAACCTTAATTTAGACATGGTTCTCAATGTCAATTTATTTTCAAATGCAAAGGTAATAGGGCTTTAATGGGTAACCATTCCAAAGAAAGTGAAAGGTCTAGAAAGCCAAAGAAATAAGGAACAGGTCCAATATTCATCACCCCTTCTCTTGTAACTCCAAAGAACAAGAAAAAAAGTGGGAAAGAACATCCAAGCCCTTAATATCAAACAACTCTCACAGCTTTCAGGGTTAACACTACCTTCCAACACTATCTAACAAGGATGTTCAGACAATTGTGCGCACTGGCTTTCCAGTCAGACTGGAGGGTAAACTGAAGAGTTTTCCCCCAGCCTAGTAGCTAGCTCCTGGGAAGGAGGGAGTAGGCAGAAAGACAGTCTGGACTCCAAGTTCATATCTGGGCAATATAGGTAATCTTGGTCTGAGCATCAGGGTGTTACTGCAGGTCAACTGTAGATGACAGCGAGTACACATGCATGTGTTTTGTGTCAATGAGCATTTAAGTTCATGTCTGTGGAGAAGGACTCTACAGGGAGGGATGCTATCACTTAACCAAGCTACTGACTTCTCAAGACCTCAAAAGAATCTAGGCAAACGACCTTCCCCGGGTTTCCATTAAAGGACTTACTGGATTGGTCTCTGCTAGGACAGGATGGTAAAGGACCCTAAATCTATCCCCTCAACCAGTTAATCACCAATACATCTTCAACTCTTTCTCCATGAATTAGATAAATATGGATTGGTTCAGACAAATTTTGATGTTTTTATCTATGCCTGTAGCTGGACAGAATGATTGTGAGACATCATCTGATCTAATGCTCTGCCTCAAAGCAGGCAGGGGAGCTCAATTTTCCTCTTCCTTTTAAAAGATCCCTTTGAGACGGATCATGTGAGATAGAGAAAGGGTAAGGGAGCTAATATCTTCATTTTACAAAGTTACAGAGTGGGTAGTTAGGAGAGACTATTCAAAGTTAATGGAAAGGAAAAAAAAATTAAGTTAATGGGAAGGAAAAAAACAAAATAACCAAACTCACTGCCTTCAAGTTGGATCTGACTCATAGCGACCCCTCCTTGGGTTTCCAAGATGGACTCACTATGGAAATAGATTGCCCAATCTTCCTTCCAAGGAGTGGCTAGTGGATTTGAACCTCCAGCCTTCTGGTTAGTAGTCAAAGGCCTTAGGGACTACGCCACCAGAGCTCCTATGGGAAGGAAAGGGAAGCTCAAATATATTATTTAAAGTTATACAAATGTCCAATAGAATAAATATAATTGATATAATTATATAAATAACAGGGTATAAATCCTCTTTTACAACAATTAATATATCAAGAAATAGAGGCATAAGCCTTTTATCTAAAGGAATGGCAAAAACCTTCAGAACTAAACACTGAGATAATTAAAAGAGGTTAACTTTGAGAGAGTATGAGAAGGATGAGTAGAGATTGTTGTTTTAGTATCATTGGATTTGTTGCCAAGTACGTGTATTCCTTTAATGACAAATATTTAAAAGAAGTTGTTTTTCAAAAAAGACCCTATATTACCTCAAGCTACTTGTTTTGTTGAGAAGTTTCTCTTCATGTCTTAAGGTCTAACACAAATGTTTCTTTAAGGAGGCCTCAGCTCATCTCCTCTTTGACCTCCATGGTCAAGGTGCAGATGAAATACTTTTTCCTGGTAGAAACTCAGGGTGAAGCAGTCAAGCAGGCTCAAGCCCCATCAGGAACTAGGTAAATGCTTACCAGAGGCCCCAAAGGGTGGTAGCATCAGGGGAGAGGGCATTCTCAAGTTTCCAGCAGAAGAGTAGGGAGGGCAGTGGTCTTGGGGTACTTATATCAATATTGAATTGGGCTGAAAGCTCTGTGCACAGGGCCACAGAGCTGGTATAAGCAGATTCCAGCCAGACAGCCCAAGCCAGCTCTGGGAGTCCCTGCTGAAGCAGACACATGGTAAAGGAGGCAACCTGTACACTCACCTCTCTCTCAACTGATCTCCCCACCCCCAAGCCCCAAATACACTTTGACTAGGCCCTCTCTTGTCCCCTGCCAATTACTGAAAGATTCCTCCCAAACCTCTTTCCCAAATCAAAGAAGTTCAATTTACTGCTTTGGATGGTGTTCAGCAAACATGTTCTCTCCATGCAGTGTGAACCCAGCCCTGAGATGGAAGCAGGGAAAACTAGGGGAAGTATGCTTTCTGGTGGAGGATGTTTCCAAGGAATGGAGTTGCTCCTAAAAAGGGGTATTATGATGAGACTGCACTCTGGTAAGAAGCTCTCATGGTACAGCGGTTAAAGCACTGGGCTGCTAACTAAAAGGTTGGTAGTTTGAAACCCACCAGCCACTCTGTGAAAGGAAAATGAGGAAGTTTGTTTCCATAAAGATTTACAGCCTTGGAAACCCTATAGGGCAGTTCTATTCTGTCTTACAGGGTTGTTTTGAGTTGGAATTGACTTGATGTCAGTAGGTTTTGTGCACCCTGGTAAACAGGAAGAAGACAAAGGAGAAGTGGGACAAGGTGGCATGACTACTTTAGAACACCTAGAATCAAAAGATGAATTTCACATGTTCTCTTCACCATCACAGGCCAAGTCAGAGACATGGCATACATACAAGGCAGCAACTAGTTTCATAAGTCCCAGACCATTCCAAGTTTTCTTTTCCAGCCAGGTTTCTCAAAGGGCTTTATTTACCACAAACATACATTCTACCTATAGAATCTAGAGTTGTGGATTAAGCTCAGGAAGTCAGTAACTTAATGCAGTAGGAAAAAAAGGCAGATGAAAGAAATAGGCTGGGAACTTCTCTTTCAAACATAGCTATAAACTAGAAAGATTCAACAGAGACCTAGATGAAGGAAAATTCTCAGGACAACTAAACCACTACTGACAAACACCTTTTGTCTGAGGAACCTAGAATGCTTTGTAAATAAATAAACCAAGTCTAATTTTTCTCCCAACCTATATCCTGCTTTTAGTCTATTAGTGCACTAATGCCTATTAAAAAAAAACCCACCAAACTCACTGCCATCAAGTCATATCCGACTCATAGTGACTCTATAGAGTGGGCCATTTTCTCAAAAAGGTCACTTTAAAGGTCAAATGAGGAAGTCACATGCTAAACCTAGGGGTACTAATTCCGAATGTACAAGCTCTTTCCACTATCTCATGTTCCTTGTCCCAGCTCCCCCCCGCCAACCTCACCCCAGGCCTGTGTTCTCATGGAATCAACCAAAACTATTCTAGTAAACCACAGACATGTAAACTGATTCCTCTTGACTCTGGACTGGGGTGGGAAGACACTCTATTCTGTAATCCCTTTAAAACAATCCTAAAATTAAATAATCTGAAACAAAATTTCTCACAACCTCATTCAGTTTCCAGGCCTGTTCGTCCCTGCCAGTGGTTGCTCCTGAGTAGTCAACAAAGTGTAATCTGATAGAGACTTCTTCAAAATTTGTTCCATCCTTCAGAAACACCCTTCTGTCCAGAAAAGCCTGAGATAGCTGAGGCTCCCCCTCTTCTCAATACATTTTCTTCTCAGTTCAAGGTTTAGCTGATCCTGAAATAGGTGGTATATGGAGATAAAGAGGGTGACAGAGAACACATAAAGACCAAAGGGAAAACAAAATGTCACAAGGCTCAGGCAAAAAACCCTTGCAACTCTAGGGAGAAAGCATCAAAGTCGGAAATCCTGAATGGGCAGGTGCACAGATCTTTGATTTCCTCAGAAACAAACCGTCAGAGGTTAGGGGATTTAGAAAGGGGAAAGAGAAGCTAAATAAAGTTACAGGGATCATATAGCATTCCAGAGAAGAAAAGTGAGGATTATGGTCAAAGCAGAATGCAAACAGTACTTTAGGAATGATGATGCGGGCCTTAAATCCCTTAAGGAGAGGGGAATAGGCAACCCTTGGAAACCAGGAATAGGTGGATAGGTAGGTAGATAAAAGTGAAATAATGGAAGCAGAAGAGGAAAGGGCCATATCTTCAGCTCAGGGAAATGGGAACACAGTGCTGAGGCTGCACACAGATCCCGGGAAAAAGGATAAAGGAGGAGTCTATGGGAAAGGTTTGGAGCAAGAGCACAGTCGACAAGGAAAGACAAGCAAGAATGGACATTCTGATATGGTAAGGGTTCAAGTCTTAAGAGAAAATAATTCCGGACGGAGACAACAGTGATGGGGGGGGGGGATCCCCAGGGCAAGGGGAGGAGCTAAGAAGAAGAGGAAGCCAAAAAGGCAGAGGAGGATCCCAGGCCTAAGGGGAAAGGGTGGAGAAGGAACCCAGGATGCAGCTGCCAGAGGGAGGGCAGTTTTGTAGAAGAATCTAAGTCGGGGGTAGGCTGTGTGGGACAGGGTGGGAGAGGGGCCTCCCCAAGAGAGTAAGGGTAACTCAGGGAGGTGGAGTCGCTTACCTCCGGGGACCCCCGCGGAGGGGGTGCGGGCAGTCGAGGTCGGGCTGCCGGCACCGCCGCCTCAGCAGCAGCGGCCGCTCCCGGGCTCCATTGGCCGCCTCCGCTTCCCTGACAGCAGCCGCGGCGGCTGCACCAGGCCCCGGCTGCGGGGTTGCCCTCGGCGCTGCCTGAAGGGGCCTTCAAGCTGCCTCAAGTTCGACTGGTACACATAACCACCTCGTCCCTTCTCCGTACAACCAAGAACAACAACAACAAAAAAAAATCCCCAGCAGGTGTTGATGTGAGATTCCTCTCCTGAGTCCAAGCTCTTCCCGAGGTTGGCTTCCCTTCTTCCCCGACGCTCAGGACCCTACCGATCCCATAGTAACCTAAAGAGTCGGGTGAGCTGCCCGGAACATGCCTGTTTAGAAATTTAAAAGGGGGCGGGGACGAGATAGTTGGTAGCTGAAGAGGGAGGAGAGGGCGAAGGGAGGAGCCTAGGGTGGGAGGAGAGGCCAATCTTTGAGAGTTGGACCTAAAAGACAGCATTTCCGAGACTAAGGAAGCCGAGAGGGAAGTAAGTTTGTAGGATAAGGGGCAGGCGCAGGTAGGGAGGACAGACAGTGGTGCATCCCGTTGGAGGACATATTGCGCACCTCCATAATTTACATTATATGTAAATTAGCCCGTTTTAGTTAGGCACGGATAATTGCGAACAATAGCATTCCCCTCTCCCCTGTCCTACAGGGACTTCCTCAGCAAATCAGGCCTTGGGATGGACGAGCAGAGCGGAGATAGTCACCCTCACTCTATTTTCCCTTCTTAAGGAGCTCTTGTAGCATAGTGCCTAAGGCACTTGACTGCTAACCAGAAGGCTGGCGGTTCAAACCTACCAGCCACTCCTCGGAATGAAGATGGGGCAATCTACTTCCGTAGTGATGTTGTTGTTATGAGCCGTCACTACGGAATCACTACGGAAGTAGATTGCCCAACCTTCCTTCCGAGGAGTGGTAGTATCCGTAGTGATACTGCCTCAGAAACCCAAGGAGGGGTCCTTATGAGTCGTGTCCGACTCGATGGCACATAACAACAACAACAATCTTTTTTTTTTTTTTTTTTTTAATTTACTTGCGTTTTATTGACTATGTAAAGGCATTTGAGCATGTGGATGATGACAAATTGTGGATAAAAATGCAAAAACTGGGAATTCCAGAACACTAAATTGTGCTCATATAAAACCTGTACATAGACCGATAAACACTTATTCAAAAAGAATAAGGGGATACTGTTGTTGTTAGGTGCCGTTGACTTGTCTCAGTATCATATTGAACCTTTTCACAGCAGAATGAAACAGTGCCCAGTCCCGTGCCAGCTCCACAATCCTTGCTATATTTGAGCCCATCGCCACAGTCACTTTGTCATCCATCTAGTTGAGTGCCTTTCCCTCCCTCATCAACCCTCCACCTTCCCAAGCATGACATCCTTCTCCAGGGAATGGTCTCATCTGATAACATGACCAAAGTAGGTGGGATGAACTCTGGCCATTCTTGCTTCCAAGGAGCATTCCAGCTGCCCTTCCTCAAGGACAGATTTGTTAGTTCTTTTAGCAGTCCATGGTACTTTCAGTATTCTTCGCCAGCACCACAACTCAAAAGGATTAATTCTTCTTTGGTCTTCCTTATTCATTGTCCAGTTCTCACATGCATATGAGGTGATTGAAAATACCATGGCTCGTGTCAGGCACACCCTAGTACCCAAGGAGACATCTTTCCTCTTCTGCACTTGAAAGAGTTCTTTCGCAGCTGACTTGCCCAGTGCTGTATGTTGGCTGGTGTCCTGAGTGACAACAACAATCTTTAAGGACAATTACGCCAGTATCACTTTGGGAATGGCGCGGTCTGACCAAGTCAGTCTTTCGCCGCTACCAGTCTGACTTGAGGCCTCCGAGGTTACTACCTGCCTGGGCAGCCTTTACTCTCCAACCTTGGATGCAGGGCCCTCCAGGGAGGGGCTGACCAGGGTCAGGTTGGGAAAGGTGAGTGAAATGACAAAGACTTGGAGGCCAACCCCTCCTTCATCAAAAAATAAACCAAAAACCAAACCAAACCCATGGCCATGGAGTTGATTCAAACACACAGAGAGCCTATAAGACAGAGTAGAACTGCTTCATAGGGTTTTCAAGACTGTAATCTTTTATGGAAGCAGATTGCCACATCTTTCTACCACAGAGCAGCTAATGTGTTCGAAGTGTGGACCTTTCGGTTAGCAGCTGAGTGCTGAACCACTACGCCACCAGTGCTCCTGTTACAAGAAGACTGAACAAGTAAACAAAAACACTCCCTGTAAATGGGCATCTGCTGTTGGTCTTGTGTTTGTCAGTTAGTATTGATTGAAAGGTAGCTCCCTCTTCAGAGGCTCTGTCCAACCCTCTGGGATCTTACTTAATATACATTGAGACTATGTAATTATTTGATCCCAGATCTTGGATACTTCTCTGGCACTTAACAGCCTGATTTCTTTGGGATGAGTGATTTAATCTCTTTGAACCTCAGTTGCCATGATTACAAAGAAGATGCAGTAATATTAACACCTTCTACAATTTTGTGAGGGTCAAGTGAGTGCATGTTACTATTACTGGAAAAGTAAGAAGATGAAAGAAAAGAGGGACACTGCTTCAGTGTTTAATTGGAAGGCAGAATAAAGAGTAATAACTTGAAAATACGTATGAAAAACATGTAACACATACAAAAGTAGAGCACATTGAGTACCCACATAATTGCTGAAGGAAAATGGAAGAGTTTGGTTAAATTAGCACCAAGGACCTAGCCATCAGTGTAGAATGAATGAATTGAAGGCTTCTCAAAAATAATTTTTTTTTTTTGTAGTGTCTGTGCTGTGTTACTTTTTTTTTTTTTTTTTAAATTGTGATTTGGGTGCAAGTTTACAGGGCAAATTCACTTCCCATACAGCAGTTCACATACACTTTATCTCATGACATTGAATCCAATTTACCGCAATGCAACAGCTCCCCTTCCACTTCCTCCCTATAATTACCTCTTCCCTGTGTCCATCCCTCCATGCACTCCTGCCCCCTGAGCTGTCTCCCTGTGCACAAACAGCCCTTCTTCCATAATTGTTCTCTCCAAGGAGTGTATCTACCTCAGGTAAATGTTCAGCTCATATGCCTGTCTTTTGTTGGGTGGAAGCCATGTGGGTTCAGTTCCAGATCTGAAGGACACCTAGGGACCATAGTCTTCAGTGGTTCCACCAGCCTCTATCAGACCAGCAGACCTGGTCCCCCCCCTTTTTTTTTCCCCAAATGATTTTGAGTTTTGTTCCACATTGTTCTCTCTCTCTATCCAGGATCTCCTACATAGATCCTCCTCTGAGTGGCTGACAGTAGTAGCTGGGCACCACCGAGTTCTTCTGTTCTCATAGTCATATAGGCTGCAGATCACATGGCGTACCAGTCGCTAGGACTAATTGTTTCCTTGAATCTTTGGTTTTCTTCATTCTTCTTGGCTCTGGACAAGGAAAGACCCATTGTTGCATCAGAAATAATTTTGAGCCATGTCTTCAATGTTGGATAGCACAAAAAGGAGAGAGCAATCTAAGACTTAAAAATTGTATGTTGAAGAATAGAAATGGATTTGCTCAAATCATGAGGATAGGGCAGCAGTTAGCCACGTTAAACTAGGAGTACAGTAGTGAAAGAAGAGCAGAGTAAAAGCCATTGAATGCCAAAGACAGTTTAAATTTGTCACCACTAGTCTAGAGTGTTGGGAATCACCAGTCCACTGTCAGGCCCAACCCTTGGCTGGCTTCCAACCAGCTGTCAGGCAAGTATCAAAAGGTGATGAACTTACTTTAGCCTAGAATTTAAAATATTACAAAACCTCAAGGGGTAGGGTTCTAAGGGGCTGCAAAACTAGCCTTTTGAAACACTACAAAGGGATGGGACAGTCCTTTTTATAGTA